TACAGATAAATGTAATTTCTGAGCACTGTTTATCAATTTTGAAGTCTTCTGTTAACTGGCATATCACCTTTTTAAATATGTTAAAATTTCTCTGTACATACACTTAATTTATTTTCTAGATTCTACTCAGCCGAAGAGAAACTGACGGAATAAATGATGGTACCATTCCAAACTACACAAACCGTTGTTCAAAATGATGCAGTTTAAAACAGGATTATTTCCAAAATAAATCCAACCAAAAATAGTAATGAGGAAAAAGGAAACAAGGTCGAAAATGTTGACAAATATCCCTGAACATAATAAACAAGGAAAATAGATATGCAGTGAATTGGTCATGCATAAATAACGCATTTCGAGATGAAATTTCATTACAGTTTCTTTGGTAAATATAGAACACTAGCGTCAAGCGTTAGTGCTTAACAGTTATAGTATGTGGACTTTTCCAACCACTTCAAATGCTTTCCTGGATTGATGCAGGGATCTAATATTTCTGGCGAATTAACTTTATTCTTTCGACTAAATACTTATTTATTCTGGTAACTTCGGACTGAGTGGCTTTCAGTGTTTGGTTGAATTCTCATCTGTATTGGTAGATTAGGATTGTGTCTACGGTTTGACACGTTCATACTCATATGTTTGAAATACTCTTAGACTTTACTGTATCACCAAGACAACATTTGTCATCAATGCATTTTTATCATCATCAGAAAAGTTAGTATGGAAATGTTATACAGATTTAATTGTGCAGGTCTAATGGACTTTGTCGTTAGAAATAGAGAAAATTGTTGCCTGTTTATAAGATAACGTAGTATGGTAGATAATTGGATTAATTCCTCATTGTGCTGACTTATGTTCATTAATATGTAATGGATACTAAAATCTTAAAATAAATTTTTGCCGACAAGTTCACTGTCTAACGATAGTCGTAAAGATGATTATCTTAGGTAGGCAGGAAAAAACAGTGACTTGTTTAAAATTCAGTGATCCTCTTAACACGTTCATCAACAGTCGCTGTTCTAACTGAAGGAGTAATCTGCGTTATATTAAGATAGTAACGAATTATGCATATGCTACCTTGCTGAAAATAGTTCTGCTGTACGCCCATAAAACCTTCATGAATTACGTCTGTTTCCCTCAGAGTAGATTGCATAAAGAAATTAATTAGAATTCCTTTCAGAAATGACGATGACCACCATTCTACAAACATTACTAAAGTCACACGTTCCAAAATGTTGTGCATACTTTTCACTATTTTGTAAAACTGAGATTACTTGAAAGCAGTGAAGAGTTGATCAATGTGCATATATTTTAATCAACACTGAAGATTCATTAGCAGAGAATAAGAAGCCAAACACAAACAATAGAAAGCTAGTCATATTCAGCAAAAATATTTAAAACACTGCAACTATTATGAAGACCTATCGAAGAGTAGAATTCCACTTTTTAGATGTTATGCGAAACAGAAGGCAGGCTAGAGTGACCTTTTCAATCTACCGAAATTCTGCCTGTAGTGGGCAGTACACTTACCTCACTGGCTGGGTACCTCTAGATAGAAAAGAAAATCTAATCTGTTGTTTGTGCTCCAGAATTTGGAAGATTCGCTCTATTGATACTATCGAACTAGGAAACCTTCGTGCAATACTGTCTCTGTCTGTCTGAATTCTCGTGCAATACTCTTAAGTAAAGGATATCCTAGAGGCTTTATTGAATGAAACATGAAGAAATTGCTCCTGGCCAAACCATAGCACTAAACAAGACACTATTTGTGAGTTTCGCGTTTAAAGGTGATACTGCTGTAGTGATTGAAAGTTGTCTCAACAAATGTATTTAATACCCTTTTTATACTGCTGATTCACGATTAACATTCTTCAACCAAATTACGATTCGATAACGTATCAAGGAGAAACTACAGCTTGTATGTGTGCCTCTATTCTCTTACGCGCTCCTATGGAGCTGATGGCATTGAACTTTATAAGCGTGTTCTCTGGGAAAGCGTTACGGAACACTAACTGGTTAGGTTGACGAAACGCCGGCAAAGGATGACGAAGTATCTTATCTTGTGGAGACTCTGGAAACACGTCATTCAGCCTTAAGCCTTGTAGACTTATCTCCAGGTCCAAATTCAGTTACCTCAAAAGTTTGTTTTCTCCACTTATGTATAACCGAAGCCCTAGCTATACATGAGTAAAAACTATTTTATCATTTAAATTCATTCTACTTCACTATACCTCGATTTTCTTTACTGTTATCATCTCATTTTGAATTTTTTTGGACAGTACAACCTACTTTTAAAATTTTAATATCAATTCACTAAATTCATTCTTTTAGAATTTCATGATCCACCCACTTCAACTCTACCCTCTCAAACGTCACGTTAATTATGTTTACTCTTATGATATGCGAACTGATCGAGTAAATAAGACCGTACAGCCTGAAAATGAAGTCGCTGAAAAGAAATGCTTGTTCACTGAACAAAAATTGTGTTTTTCCTTTATCATAATCAAATAATGTTTCACATGGATTACGCATTTTTAGGTAGTGTTCCTGGGTACTTAACTATAGTAAATCTTAGTACTAATGATCTTCAAACGTTTACTAGTATAAAATGTACACGTAATATTCTACTTTACCCAATTTTAGAGCCAAGAAGATATATTACATACACAATACAATGAGAGCATTAACTCAGTACAATATGATGAAACTTATCAAGGATAAAAGCAATACTACACGTTTCATTTAGTGGAACCTTAGTTATCTAAATGCTCTCATTTAAGTTCGCAGGGAATTTTATGCACTATGTTAGTGGTAAAATGACAGATGAAAGATCAAGAGTTCCTCGATTAAGAGCATATACAGGATTTTATTAAGTTCTTCATGGACAGCGAAAACCTTACAGCACACTCTAATTACGAAAATAATACTGAATTTATACACCATGCAACTTGAAGACGTTATTAACTACCCACTCCTAACAATTTCAGGTCTTCTGGCAGCTGAAGCACACATGCATACTTAGACCAGCGAACTTTACATACACAATAGTGTGAAGAAACTGCATGATTCTAGAATTTCTGTTCAGTTACTTCACTATCAATGATACTCTCCTCATATGATTGGAGTCTTATTGTAGCTAAGCCAGTGACCATTTAACTGAAAAATGAACAAAAATGTCAGAACACATCACTGACTTGTGCGAACAAGAAACAAACAACACGCTGTTAGGTATTGGACCAAATTTAGCTGGTTTAATGATAGTGTCTGAAATCTAACTAGATTTTTATGTGCTAGGCATATGTGATAGATACTATGTATTGGTTCGCATGTACATAAATGGCTTTCGAACGTGACCACCGTTTCTATTTACAAGATTGAAATTATCAAGTGAACACACGATATGCGTCTTGATAAGATTGGTCACGAGGGTGTGACGAGTGTCGATTGACTAATTCTTAATGTCAGTGCTGACTGAATTCTATCAGTTGAGCTTTAAATATGGTCTCTGAGCTTGGTGATTGGCTATCGTGGTGAACTTGAGTGTATGTTCGGTGGCTGGACGCAATAAGACTGTATAACTCAGCCGTAACGTCTCTGACTGCAGCAATAGGTGATTCTGTTTCGTATCTTGAACAGGATATCAATTTGTATGAGGATGCAAGCATTTCTCGCACAAAATCTAGTTTAAGGGATTCATGTTATAGATAACAACGAAAATAGCTTCGAAACAATGTGAGCAACACTTAATCAGATTGTTCGCAACCCAATTCCTATGAGGGTGTTATTTGGCAACTTTAAAGATAGAATAATGTACATTAAGATGATCACTTCTATGGATTTATGAAAATAAAACATAAAATTAGTAATCAGTAAAATCGCTTTATTATCCTGAAATGGCTCATCAGAAGTAACAGTGGTTATGTATTCAAAAAAATATAATTGAAAATGTGTAAAAAGTTAGTATAGTGCGTTAATAGGATCGTCCCCAAATAAAAAGTTCCAGGAGGGTGGGGGAGTCCAACGAAAACTTGTCTTGTTACCACTCAGCTGTGCAGTAAGCTGCAACCAATTATCTAAATAACGCACAACGTACAGTGCATCGCCACTGTTGTCGCCTTCAGATGTGAAAAAATTCAGCAAACATACAGGTGTATCACAACACTTATTCAATTTTTCAAATAAAGAACTGGCAACCCCACAACCCGGTAGGTGACTCACAGTAGACAGTTCGTAATCTAGTTGTTCATCGTGTATTTTGAGGGGGTACCAACCCAATTCTTCAAGAGTTTTGCGATCGGAAGCATTGAATGAGGTAGAGACAGCGTACTGCAGGGGTGCGGCACTTAGTTCTTTATCCTGAAGGGGGAAGTAACATGTTATCAATTAAAACTAAGCATCTGTACGGCGAGGAAAAAATGCTTTTGCATAGGTGAGGTTAAAGAAATAAAAAAGCGTCCCTTGACAACTGATGTGAGGCATATAGACTATGAATGCAAAGTATTCTGAAAAGAAATACACTTCATCAAACGAATTCATTATGAATGAGAGGAAACTGTGAAATCTCGGACAAAACAGTTGATCCCTCCACACTGTTACATGAGTTATTTATTATGTGCATTGGATGACTGAGATACAACACAAGTGTCATTTTAATATATGCAGTTTGAGTGTTGACTGTAAGGCAGTTTGGACGTTTTCATTTACGTGAATGGTTTGAAGTTAGCTCAGGCCTATGGCTTACAAACATTCTAGGAAAAAACTCAGTCATTATGGATAGCGTCCCACTGTCACACCATCAAGTCTCCTGGCAAAATTTAAGCTGAAGAGATACACTTTTTTCAGCTGTTAAAACTTTGTCATGAGAAAACTGGCACGCCATAATTTTATCGGAAAAGTTATTCTATGTTTATAATCATAATAATACAGAATGGGTCCAATAGAAAGTAGGGATATTTAACAACTCTATGTAGTTCATCTCTATAAACACAACATAATGGGCTTACCTTAAGTACAGTAGCAAAACTACTGGACAACAAGACTACAGTCTTGAACTTGACAGTTTTCAGAAAAAGAATTAGTTCTTTGACATACTTCCACTTACAACCAGAGAATGGAGGAGCCCGAACTTGTAAAACGGCCAGTCTGAGTTTAGGATTAGCGTAGATCTTCAAAAAAATATATAGGCAGAGAAAAAATAGTTAAGACGAAAAATTCGAAGCTATCAGATACTGAAAAGCCAATTTTCAACTTTACCTTGAAGCTGAAAGAAGTGATTAAAAAAATGAACGAACAAGACTTTGCTTTATATCTGAATAAGAGGTAACTAGACTGAATACCACTTCCCACTTCAATGTATCGTAGTGAAAACTAGGAAAGTGTTGCCTTATTCCCCTGGTCAAGATGGCTGGGTGGTTTATTAACAAAAATTCGGACAAGTATACTACTTTGGAAGACAGCACATTAATGAATACCAGTGAAGACTTAATTTAAGTCACCAAAATTTATTCTTAGTATCCTGATGACTATGACTTTACAACCCACAGCTCCTTGAGCATATCAAGGCTACAATCAAAATCTTAACGCATTGATGTGGTTTTGATTTGACTAAACATGATTCCATGCCTATCAAGAGATAAAAATTCACATTTCAATCGACTGAACTACGTTCCTTACACAACAATACACCTAGTGTTGCTATTGATTAGCGTTTCCTCCCACACAGGTGAAATGAGTAGATATTTCGCTCATAAACGTCTTACATGTACAACAATAGGTCTGTTTAGTTGGTATATCAGAAAACCTGTCATTAAATACGTATGTCGACCACAGTCTATAGTACAGGTCCGAAAGCAGTTGCTTAGCCGGTTACAATTAAAATACAGTATAGCAAAAACTGAAAGTTCGTTTACTGTTATTCTTTAGCATCTCCGTATAGTTACTACGATGAAAGGGGAATTATCGTCACTTTATACAGCATTATTCATACACAGTGCAAACATAATAATATAAAAAATGATTCCTGCAAATGAGTTTTGAGATTTCTGAGACTATAAATGTTATATAAACACACACACATATATAATCTAGTTAAAATTCCATACCTCTGAAGACGTCATTAAATTGGATTCTGAATTTATGTGTCCATTGGAATCCAGACCGATGACAGATGGGCAGTACTTAAAGTTCAGACTACTGACAAAATCACACTTTAGGTTGTGAATTAACAGATCACATGACAGTTGAGCTACATTACCTACACCGACACACGCCAAAACTAAAGTATATGAAGAAAACTGATCACAGTCAACATTGGGTTGTGAAAACCTATATAGTGTGGACATAGTTGGAAGATGAATAACTCTGAAAAGTATTCAAAAGGTTACAACAGTTTAGATTTATGTTTGCTAGCAATAAGTAGAAGGTATGTCATCAAATGAAAACAGTTGAAACACAAGATAACAATGCAAGCAATTATTTCGAGGCGAAGTATGAAAGACTGCCAAAAAAGGAAGAAAATTAGTCCTAAGACTGATGGTACGTAAAAGAGTAGGCCAGAAATGCAGGCTAACTTAGAGAAACAAGCGGAATCAGAAAATGAACGGCAGAAAAAGTACTTTCCAAAGTCTGAAACTAACCAGCCTAATAGAATGAGTAGCTCTTCTACGAAGGCACCTGATCCAAAATCGAAGTTATAATACTTGTAAATATACAAAAGAACTTCAAACACAAAGAAAGAATATGACAAAACCCTCCCACTCCGACTAAGCAAATTGTTTACACAACAAGCAAGTTTCATTTCTGAATAACTTAAACAAACTCTTCCTAAATATTGTGATACCGAGGCGACAACTTTTTCAGTGTTATACTTTCATGAAATAGAAATTTTAACATCGGAGCGTCATCTTTACAAGACTTTCTGCTTCATTTCATCACGTTTACAGGAATCATGAAATCTGTTTGATCTTCGAAATGCAGAACAACATTAAAGCATATATTGTTATATTACGTTCGACTACCACACATTACTCTTTTGGAGTAATATCTGACAATTAAAAATAACCTATGACGAGGACAAACACTGGCAAACTGGCCACAGCTATTCAGAAACTGGTTACAGTTATTCTGGCTTAAATGACAACACAGCACGCCATGGTCAAAGAAAGCCCGCTCTCTGGCTAAGTGGATGAGTGAAAAAGTAGGTCCATACTCAAAACGCGTAAAGATTTTCAGAGCTATGAGAGGCATTGGTAACCAGGGCCAGCCTGAGAGACGACTGGGAAACCTGGAAGACCGAGTCCCGGTTAATGGAATGTCCTAAAATCTCAAAAGGTGCTAACCGATCCAACTAATATATTTAATACTGCATAAAAGGCTGAGGGCATTTTCCCAAGAAATATACCTCATTATGACTAACCAACGCTTTATCTTTGAGAGAGCTACGTGAACATCAGAAGCATTCCACACCGTATGGAGGCAGAGACTGTATTTCATTTCAATTGCCGTAATAAAGTTGCGGGTGTAAGAAGCAGTAAGAATAAGAATAAAAAGCTACAGGAAGGCATTTTCAACATCCTCAAGCTTATAGTTGGCACCAGAGATGCAACTGTCTTGTGAAAATTCCTTAAGGGATGGTTGCATTGCAGCTGCATTCTCATGGTTATACAAACTTTGAATTTCTTTTGCATAATCTCCGCCAATAGGGAGCTGAGTTGACTTCTGGACTTGCAATATATAAACCGTGAGACAATCACCTCGCCAAACAAAGGATGAGGTCGAACTCACAAGCGTGACCACTAACAGTATGATGGAGCTGACAAGTAGGAATGACAGGCAGCGACATCATATTTAGCAGTGAAAGTAGCTATCAACAGAACTGAGATGAGTTACAGCAGCTGTAGGAAGCAGCTACCTCGCCTACTGAATCTGCCCACGCCTAATGAATCAGAAATCATAGCAGTAGACTTCGAATGGTCACACATCTTTGACAGCATTGTCAAAGCATAGCATACGGCCAGTTGCAACATCAGTAGCAAAATTCGATGCTTCTAGGTCATTCCCAGAGCTCTCAGGCAAAGGCCGAGGAATCAAGGCTACAAATTTAAGCATCTGCAGCTATGAGGCAGTAGGAATTCGATCGTATTGACGAAGAGATGTCTGAAAAATTGCAGACAATTGTGTCGCGCTAAATACTCTTTAAAACAAGATCAATGAACTGAAGAACTATGCGCTGATTAAAATTGCAGAATACCTTTTCAGGAATGTCAGGGGTCTTAGAAGCAAGATATCTGAGTTCAGTTTGGCGTTCTCGCAATTCACACCGCCATCCTTCATTCTGATAGAAACGCGATAGTCACGCAGAATCTGAAACAATGAAATTTCAATCAGTAAGATGACACTGAACACAGGAGACGAGGAACGGAGGGTCTATGCAGAAGCTGCAATATACACAGGCATTGATCTCCTCCCCAGTTTTGAGCCTGTAGATACCCTGAGTCAAATCATGGGATTATTCTGATGTTTCATGACCGTAAACAACACTGAAATTCTTGCTGGAGGAGTATATGGAACCCGGCAAAGTGAGGTGGAACACGAGCAACCACTTGTCAGTATAATCGCGACGTTTGGTCAATATAGTTGAGGACCTAAATGCGCATCACTCAGGAACAGTGAGGAACATCGAACAAAGGAGCTTTCAGTGGAGATTTACTAAATGCCATCAAGTCTAACGGTTTGTATGAAACCAATAAAAAAGAGTGATATCTGAATTTGGAAGCCAAACCAACCAGGGTACATTGGTTTGTCACAAGTCACGTCCCACCCATACAGAACTATAAGTAGATATTGTTGTGTTGCCTACCCATGATGACTCTCCTCCTCGACGCCACTACGATAAGGCCAACTTTCAGTGAGTGAAACATCATATAGTATCAATGTCTTGGCCACCGAATTACCACTCACTAGCGCAAGATGAGCACTAAAAGTGAGCGGGGATTGTGTAGCGGTAAATGATTCCCCAAAATTATCAGTTTACGGCATTTTTCACTCGACACTAGGTACTGACCTTCACTATTTAAGTTGACCTGCTACGCTGACGGCACATTATAAAGCATTTACCCCACTCGAAACGCTGTCGTGTCGCAATTTTGCAAGATCCCTAGCTAGTTGAGCAGTCATCACCACTCAACGTCCCTGATTTAGAAATATATCCCTTACTTTAGACGATCAGACTGATGTTTCAATTCCTCTTCGGTCTAAGCAGAACAAATACTTTAATAGTTACTGGATAAGAAATTACATTTGCTTGCAAAGTTTGTTGCATAATGAGCAACATCTTCCGTAAACGAAATTCATTTTCGAAACTTAAGAACACGAAAACAAATACCTTTTCCTAACAGCGAGTCCGTTTTATTTAGCGATTGCCCATCCCTTTTTCATCACCATAACTTGTATTTACGATGTGTACCCCCTCTACTCCCAACTCTCGCCTTGTATATCATCAAGTCAAACCAGAAATCAGTATAAAATAATCTATGCTCGTACAACCAAGTACAGGAACTCAACGATACCATACTTGGCCCGTGTTCTAAGCGACAGAGACAATGTTAAGCGTGAAACTTATGACTTGCTCTGTTATTAACGACATAATTTTAGGCTCTTTTATTTCTCTCTTATTTTGTGTTCTTTAGTGAACTCCTTCTCAAACATACTTAGCTACCTAAAATATTAACATTGGCCTCATTTTTATACTTTACTATATTCCTTCTATTGTGTATCCACTGGTTCCGACTCTATTAGCACTATGAGCATTACAAAATTGTCCTGTCATAAACCATCATGTTATATCAGTTTTGTGGCTGTTTTTTCCTATTTTTCTGCACTTTTCGGCAATATTAACTGACAATCATTGGTTGTGAACGCCATAGTCACCACCTTAAAAATTTTGTATTATTCACACTACCACCACAAACACTGCATTAGACTTTGGTGGACTTTTGTACTTTTTTGTATTTATAATTATTTTGTGTTTATCCTGTTTTGTTTTTTTGCTGTTTGTGTCTTCAGATTTATTTTTTTGTTTGTTTAATACTTATTTTAAATGTCTGTAAAATTAGATGCAAATATTGTAGATATGTGCTGAAAATTCCACACTGTACCACTAGTACTGTTTCTGGAATAAAGCAAATTATTATTATTATTACGCATCCGACCGAATGGCATTTCCATTCAGCTGGTACTCTTTTGGATAGAACATACAGGAACATGATATATGTACACTGGAGCCAACTTCCATGGAGTAAGTGATCGGTATTCACAATTTCTGGTAGTTATACATTCTCTGCCACTCGGGACGTCCACGTACGTAACGTCCACTCCACAGGTAAGTAACCCCTGCGACATGCTCGAAACTCCAGTTCTTCAGTAAAACGTTCGTTCAGATCGCCAAAGTCTTGGTGAGCTATTCTATAGTATCGATTTAAGGAGTGTTTCATCCATAAAATGCTTTCACAAATTCTTGAACTCGTAGACCAATGAGAATTCGGTGAAGGACACTTTAGAGGGTTGTTT